GTCACAATTGTACCTCTTTCACCTGAGGTTATCGCCCCCACTTGCTTTACACCTTTTTGATGAACTTTGGGGCATGTTGTTACATGGTGTAACAACATGCCCTATATCGACATGGGGTATAACAATGTCTCCATACTAATTCATCGTCAAACAACATAACTCAATGTTATCGTATATTAAGAGGTATTAACTATCGAAGTCTACAACCAATAAGAACAGTATCAAAACACAGTATATAAAGAGTAAACAGATATTTCCTAGACATTTTTTTTAGTTTAGGTATGCAAAAACAGAAAATGTACATTCCTTTTTTATTTCGTGACTGATCTTATTCATGCCGCCATTAAAACAAAGCTTGCGCAACACGTGTTCGATGGTCCATGAACTATCGTCGTCTATTAATCTCAAGAAGAGCTAGAGGCACTGTATCAACTTGCCCCTGTAACAACTAGCCCCGGTCTCCCCTACTTTATACTAATAAGTTTATTTATTATATTGGTGTCGTGCAGTTAGCATAATTTGTAAAGTAGGCCTACAACAAGCTGCAACAATATATAAGTGTTCCAATTTGTAGAAACATCAAAGAAGAAATACGCTGATTTCTTATTGTTTACATAGACTGGCCATTATTTTTACTATATAATTTAAAAGAGCCCACCAATGGAAGAACAACACGAAAACAATGATGTTGGAAGTAGGGTTATTTGGATAAATCTAAAATAGAACTTTAAAAACATGTTTGATGTTGAACTTTAATTGTGAAGAATGTAACCACGAGATCAAAGACTGAGAGTGAAGTATTACTTGAGATGGGAAAATTATCAAAACAAGATCTTGAGGAATATCAGACAAAAAATGTAAAGACCAAGAAGAAAGGGACACTGACAGAAAATTAAGAGAAGACCAGAAAGAGCGAGGTAAAAAATGAAAAGAAAACAAAACTAAATTTACAGAAATTAAAAGAAGATCAAGAGACAAGAATTTAAGAGAGAAATTACGAGACAGGAGTATACTATTTAAAGAAGTGTGAAAATCAAAATTAAACTGATTGAAGACAAGGTCAATGAAAAACTATTGGAGATGTACAAAAAATTACAATAAGATCGAAAAAATATGGAAAGGCTGTAATAACAAAATTGGAGAAGTACAAAAGGACACTGAAAAAGTCAAAAGTGAGGTAAAAAAAGATCATTCGTGATAGCATAAAACAACTAGAAAATGAGTTATTGAATATAAAAATTATACCAGCCACATCTCTTTTTGAGTTCCAGCCTAAAACTCCATGTACTACAAAATATTGAAGTCACTTGTTTTAAACTAATATATTCAAAACAAGTCAAATGTATGTACAAAAAAATCTTTACACTATAGGTTATCACTATTATATAATAGCTTTAAATAATTGTCTATTTTTCGTCAAAGTCCTCACGGGCGGGTTCAATTAATTTAGAACACTATTTGATAAGACAACTTATTACTCCCTATCTCTACTATTACAATACAAACTTTAAAACTCACTTTAAAATTCGCCCATTATGATTAAATTTACACGCAGGCTAACTTCACTTTTTCTTTCACTTTCACTAATTTACTTTCCTTTCACTTTTTGAAATTAATAACTTACTTACTTCTGTATCTGCACTTATTTATAACATGTGACAGAAAAATCTAGAAATATGTAGCCCTCTAGTAACAGCAATATTATATATAACAAGAAAAACCTAGAAGCTTCGAGTAAAATGACGTCAACAATATTACAAAAGACTAGTACAACAATTAAATTATATACATAACTTACAACTGGTACAGAGTTACATAATGAAACTTGTCATAACTATAGTTTATAATATAATTAACTTTTAAACAATCTTGTTATGAAAACTAGATAATCACTAAATAATAACTTTTAAGCTGAACAGTTTTGTATATCCAACATTTTGTCTATACGTATTACTACTGTTACGACAGCGGAAGTCACGTGACTCTGGTAACACGTAATGAGTTCTGGAAAGATCTGGGAACATCACGAATAATCCAGTATTTACTAGGCGCCCTCTATTCTTTTATATAAGTACGCCAGACAATTAATCGGAATTGAATAATTACAGAAAGAGAGATATAGAGACAGATAATCGAGTCAAGCCGTAAGTAAAGCGCGTGAATCGTTGTGAATTCTAGCGTGTGTTTAAGTTAAAGTAACTGTGGGAATTAAATGTATTGCAAAGTTGCAAAAAGAGGGCGTCTGGAACAAACTAGAGTTGCCAGGAAAATTCATGATCCTTCGAAAAACTCCAGCGCGCATGCTCCCAGAATTGCGTGACTTCCGTGTTGTTGTTATTTAGTTGTTTTTAGCGCAAAGCCACATAATGAGATAAATGTGCTCAGTTTATCACGGGAATCGAACCTCAGATTTGATGTTGGCGATATGAATCCGTAAAGTAACCGCTGACCAATTGGAGGAATCGAGAATAAGCAACCAACTTTCACGTTCAGCTGGTACATTAAACAAAATGGTATTAAAATATATAAACGACAAAATAAATTTAGAAATATTAAATTCTCGCTATAGTTTGGAATGAATATTTATTATTCGACTAGTCTGTGCTACTACATGAACAAACATAAAATGCACTTTTTCATTGGTGATAAAGTATTTTAAATATTCCTAACAATAAGAAAATATGCAATACACATGTAAATATAATTTTTTTGCAAAGAAAATACACACGTACTAGGTGTTTCACCTCCATAAACAATTTTACGAACGTTACTAAAACTTTGAAAGGAACGGTATTTTATTTTAAAAAATGCAAAAACGTTTGACTTCATATATTATTCTTATTTTTATTCCTTAAAAGTATTATTCTCTAAAATTAAAAAGGATAACAAAATTATAAAAAAAGTACAAACAATTCAGTTGTAAGCCTAATAAACATGTAAAATTTACAAATCACAGTAGATTCAACATTTTGTCTCAAAGTCAAAGAGTAAATGACAATTAACCACATGTGTTAAAGTTAAACCTTAAAAGGATGATTTATTTTTCGAGAAAGTAAAGGTAATACTTTTTTTGATATACCTTATTGCGTTAATAAGTCTATAAAATATGAAAGTACTAACTATCAAGGTTTATCCTTCCGGAAATCATCACACTTGAGCCTACTATAGTTCGATTGTAATTTGTAGTTTGCACTATTGTCGGCGAGGGATAAAAAAACTGATAACTAGACTATAATTAAACGCACGCAGCTTAACAGTGATAATATAAAGTCTACTAATAACGATAAACCTAATTATATATGTAAAATATGATAGTAGTTTAGTAATTATTATTAACATAACATGGCATTTGGTCCTTTTGAAGTTCAAAGCTGCTCATGCACTGGAAGAGTAAAAATAAGTCAATCATTTATTAGAAAATAGAACTGAACTGGAGCTTAGTAATAGTAATACTGATAGTATGTCTTTTCTTAATCTTAAACTTGTGTCTTCTCATCCTCCTATCTTCAGATCATAGCAGAAAGAAGTAAGAGAGGTTTACAATATTGATCACCTGGATAATTTTCAATAAGATATAACTTTTCTTTCCTTAAAGAAAATAAGAGATAATATCCTTTCTTAAATGAGGAGACCAAAGCTCTTGAGCTGTTCATTCAAGTGACAAAGAGGTCCGCATGCTTGTTACACTTGTTCTTGGGGAAAGGGTGTTTTTATGGGTAAAATTGAGGTGTAAAATGCTCTAAAAAATACTTAAGAAGGGAATGGTGAATCATTACCTTCAATTGAAAAATGTTTCACCATTTTCTGAATATAGAAGTAACCATTTACCCAGCTAAGAAGTTCATAATGTGTATATGATATTGTTCAAAATTAAGTGCCCCATTGTAGTTGCTACAAGTCTTAAATAAAACGAAAAAATGCTAAAATTCTTTTCTTCGGTCACATTATTAAGTTGGTTACCATTTATATTAAACATATGATTCAAATTATAACCTAAAACTTTACCTTATACTTACTATAACTAAAGATCGCGTGCCAAATATTTGTCCAACTGACCAGTTTTAACATAGTACAGCCCTATATACAGCATTACAAAATTGAAACATACCTTATATATAAATCATAATCCTTTAACAAACAGTCATATTCTTACTTACTATACTTACATATTATACTTACTATAACTAAAGATCGCGTGCCAAATATTTGTCCAACTGACCAGTTTTAACATAGTACAGCCCTATATACAGCATTACAAAATTGAAACATACCTTATATATAAATCATAATCCTTTAACAAACAGTCATATTCGTAATTTCCATATCACACAACATTAACCATACATAAAATTAAAGATCACATTACAGTACACAAAAAAAACTACAAGAAATACTTTAGAAATAATGTGTTGAACATGTAACATCCTTTAAAGCAAAAATATAAATATACCTATACACAAATAAAAAAAAAATTAAGATGAAAAACTAGAAAAAATCAAAATATAAGAAAATCTCATAGCTACACAAATATAATTGAAAAACAACAACAATGTAAGTTGAATATTTACAAACTACACACGTATCTATTTAGTCAGAATGAGGTCCAGTTTCCTCTCACCTTTATTTCAGTTCTGACGAAAGGTCCTCTAAAGCGGCTGTCTGTTTGCAGTTGTTGGCTGTTGCCATGCCTCTCATATCTGTTATAGTCAAGGACTTTTGGGTCTCTTCTAATACCATTTTTAGCTGATGGACCTTTTCCTCTAACTGGGAGTATAGCATGGAATGCTGCTGGAGTCTGCCCTCTTCCCAGTGGTACGAGGTCCAGGCCTCAGTCCATTTTGTGACAGTCTCTTGTCATTGTTGCTTTAGAGCCAGTATTTGCATGATTTTCAGGATCACAGTGGTAGCAGTCAGTGAACTTGTAGGCATCTTAAATCTCAGCTGTTGCTGAGATTGTTTTTGTGGCATTTTTGATGGAAGTTGCTCCTCTCTCGATGTTTCAACTTTGTTGGAGTGGCAATCTGCTTATTTCCTGTATTCTGTTATTAAGGTGCAGTATTGTTAAGCTGCTCTAACCAAAGCTGCCCAGTCTAGAGAGACTTGAGTGGCAACTCAAAAACCAACTTGATGAGGACCTGAACATTTGATGTGTCAGCCAGCAACACATCTTTATTTAGGTTCTCTACTGGTTTGAGAGTTAAGCATCCTTGGGTGAGTCAAAAAGTCCAGCTCCTTGCCAGACAAGAGATCTCATCATCGGATTGGTTCTTCACTTAACTTGACCCACAAAAATTCACTAGAATAAAAAAGTAGGCTCTGGCATGCCAAAAACAAGGTAATCATTATAACCCAGAACTTGACCTTAAATACCAAAGGCCCGGATTGAAAGTGTTAGCTGAGCGAGATATAAAAGATCAACAGGTCAGCAAAGTGAATAGGTTGCTGGATTTCATAACTTGATGGGTACAACCATTACTTGCCTCTGGAGCTATCTTGGTTAAAAGTAAGAATAATAACACGGGTACATACACACTACAGCAATCCCTAGTAAGTTCAGGCTAAATATTAATAGTATGAAAAGAAGAAATGTACAGTAGATTACTATACCACAGCATCATCAATAATAAACTTATTAGTTTAGATATTTGAAAATAACTTACATATAGCCCATTCACACCTCTTAATTTTAACACCAGAATCCAATAACTTTTATTTCCTGAATTTTATTTCAGTTAAATGAATGAAACTTTTTTTGTCTTTGAACCTATCTAAGCCAATCAGAATCTTTCATATGATAGTGTTAAAACTTAAGGTTAACTATTTTATATTCTTTCCAGCCATAATCTTTAGTAAACTGATGGTGATCTTGTAATAAAAAATTGTACAAATAAAGCCTTTTTCCACAGATTTTCCCTCTCCCCAACAAGCATGTTATAAATTGCTTTATTCTAATAACATTACTTAATTTCTCAATACTAAAACTGATTTTTTTCTATTCATTAAGCTTATATAGATAATTTGAATAAAAAACATTAATTTTATAAGCTACTTGGTTGAAAAGCAAGTTTTGATGATACCACCACCAATGCTTATGTCAACAGCATTTATACAGATAAAACTACATAAACCTAAAACATAGTCTCTCAATGATCAAGAAATGAACTCTTCTTTCAAATCTTCGAATAACCTTAATAATTACAAACAGACAATTCGGTTACATGCTACTAACAGCGTATATCTGTATTGTTATTTTAGTAGTGTGGGCATGCAGGGGTGAAATTCTGATGGTGCTCACTGGTACTGAGTACCGGAACTTATTTGAGCTGCTTTATCGTTTTTTTATGTTTACACTTAGATTTTCTTTTTGAGAATTTCACTCTTGCATGTATGTAAGCATTTATCTTTTCTATGTGTTTAGCATTGAAAGTAGACATGTAACCTTAAAAGAAACAAGACTAGAAAAATAGTGTTAAAAGTTTAAAAAATAATAATAAAGGAATTTCATTGTAATACTACCAGTCAATGAGTGAATTTTATCAAAATCATTTTAACTTATGCAGCAGTTAATGAAAAAACTGACATTGAATTCCTTTTTTGAGAGTATCTAACATTGAAGTAATTTTGATCATACTCAAATTAAAAAGGATGGTAAATATACCTGAATTTGTACTAGATTTTATGTTTAAACTCATATATTCAAACTGTATTTTATTCAGTTAGTTCTCTAGAAGAATGGAAATAATGACAGAAAGAAGACTGAAAGATGGAAAAGTATTCTCATGTGAAGCAGATTGGTAAAGGAAGTTATGGAGAAGTTTGGCTTGTTAGGCATTGCACATCCTCCAAACAGGTAATTTTTAATAAAATCTGTCTCACAAATTAAATATATATTTATATATTTTGTGTGCGTATGGATTTATAACTGGAAAAGTTTTGTAAATTTGTGTTATTTTCAGGTAATATATGTGTTTGATATATATATATATATAATAATATTCTTATTAAATTAAATTACTTTATCTATTTCTGAGGAACTGAGTAATGTGTAGTGATAGTTTAAAAGTATATTAAATACTGCTACTTGTAATATACATAAAACGTTATACAAATGAAGTTAACATCTGGTAAGTTTGTAATAAATATTTCATAAAAGTGAACTGTTGTACACTATAGCTTACCAATATCCAAGGTTTTGTTTGCTGTTGTAAAAGAATGATAATTCTCTTCTTAAAGGGAATATTACATAATGAATGGTATTATGTATTGTAAAGATGCACTGTATATGCATTTGTTATTATTTTTTACAAGAGACTACTGCAGTATTTTATACTTTTTTTTTCACACTAATGACTGTAGTGATGTCTGTTTTCACATTTTTATTATTATTTTACTAGAGATTGCTCTAATATGTATGTACTTAGGGAATGTTTTGCAAAAGATGTGTCAGGTGAATGCATCAACTTTCTTATGACAAAAAAGAATCAATGCCTACATAATAGTAAACAAAAAAGTAAGAAAATGATGTAATACCTGGCCTACCTATTATATTATTACAAGGCTAAACATAGTAATAAGTAAACAACTAGCTGTGTGTAATATGTAGCTCTCCTAAACAATTTTACCACCAATCTTTATATATTTTCCTCTGGCCCTACTCATGTGTTCTTATATTTATTTAAATTATCCCTATAACAGACATCTAGAGGAGTATTGCAGGAAGTAACAAATAACATTGTCTTATCTAGAAGCTGAAAAAGAAAGAAGATAAGTGGTTAGAAATATGATATTTTTATCAACTCAATACTGTGTGTGCACAAATACAGGAAGCAGAATATGACAAAGAAAGTAAATATAAAAACTAAACTAATGTTGTAATTTTAAGCTTAGCAGATAATAACTATGTACAACAACAATCAAAACTAACAGTTCATAAAACCAATTTGTTTTCAGTACATTAAAACTGTTTACTTTTACCACAAACATCCCAAGGAATCAAAGTGTAGATGTGAATGACAACAACCAAAACTAACCTGTGGGTCTGTGTGTGTGTGACTGCCATAACTCCAAGTGGAAAGAACCTAGAAACCTGAAATTTTGCAAACATACTAAGTGGACCCAGAGGGTGTGTATCTGGGTATTACTTATCTTATTGACATGTGTGCACATCTTTTTAATGAGGCAAGCTAGCAAAAAACCGTATAAAAAAAAGAATATGTGAGTGCCATAGCTCCAAGGGGAAAGAACCTAGACACCTGAAATGTTATACCCATACTAGGTGGACCCTGATTGTGTACACCTTTGTATTATTATCTTATCCATATGCATTTGCACGTCACATCTTTTTAATGAGGCAAGATAGCGAAAATCACATAGAAAATAAGTGGTTCCTTATATTACAAATGGAAATCACATAGAGATAGACAGGCACTCACATGCATGGTGTACACTTGGGTATTATTACTTATCCACGTGCATGCACGTGTGCATCTTTTTAATGAGGCTAGATAGCAAAAAACCACATAGAAAAGAATGTAACTGCCATAGTTCCAAGAGGAAAGAACCTAGAAACCTGGAATTTTGCACATATACTAAGTGGACCCTGAGGGTGTGCACCTAGGTATTATTGCTTATCCACATGCTTGTGCAATTGTATCTTTTTGTGAGAGAAGCTAGTGAAAAACCACATAGAAAAGAGTATGTGACCACCATAGCTCCAAGAGTAAAGAACCTAGAAACCTGACATTTTGCACCCATACTAAGTGGACCCTGGGGGTATGCACCTGGATATTACTACTTATCAATGTGCATGCACACATGCAAGTGTGCATCTTTTTATGCGAAAAACTGCATAGAAAAGAATTGTGTCTGCCATGGAATGTTAGAGTGTTTTAACTATTATGGAATGTTATAGTGTTTTTCTTTAACTATTATAGTATATTATATTGGTTTTTTAAACTATTATGGGGTGTTATAGAGTAGTTTTAACTCTTATAGGATACCATAGATTGGTTTTAACTATAAAAGGATGTTATAGAGTGTTTAACTATTATGGTGTTTGTTACAAGTAAAAACACGTCTTTTAACCTATAACACTCATGGAATATCTTCAACCTGATACACACGCGTGTTTTCACCTGTAGCACTCACTTGAGAGTATACAATTAGCATGTTACTCAGTTAGCCTGATAACAGTCCTAAGAACAGGATCGAAGGCATTGAAATAATGAAAAAAGGGGGGTTTATTGTGTGGAAAGTTTTCATTTTTAGGTGTTTAAATATTGGATATGTAATTCAGTTTGTAACTTTCTTTTCTATATATTACTACTTATCTACATGTGTGTTCACATGCATGTTCACATCTTTTTATGCAAAAAAACACACAAAAGAAATGTGACTGCCATGGAATGTTTTTAACTATCATGGAATGTTCTAGAGTGTTTTCTATTATGTTATAGTGGTTTTCTTTAAACTATTATGGTATGTTATAGAGTGGTTTTTGAACTATTATGGGATGTTATAGTGGTTTTTTTACCTATTATGGGATGTTATAGTGGTTTTTAATTATCACTAGCATATAGCCCATCAAAAATGACCTGGCAAGTACTACCACCCCATAGTATACCCTAACCTCATATATCATAGCTAAATAAAATAAGTAATTTTTGCTAAATCAAGCTTGACCAACAGAGTCACAGAAAATGGGATGTTATACTGTCGTGAATGTTTCACGCTCTTTTTTTTTGTTGTTGTTTGGTAATGGTCAACAATATATATTGTCGCATAGATAGCAACAAAATTATTATGGGATGTTATAGAATGTATTAACCTATTATGGGTTCTAATACAATAGCTTGTAACTATTGTACGATGTTATAGGGTAGTTTTAACTATTATGGGATGTTATAGAGTGGTTTTTAACTATTACGGGATATTACTATCGAGAACACTTTCATGCTGCTGTTTTGGTAATAATTAACAATATATATCATTGCTGGAATGTTAAAAAGTGTTTTAACTATTATGAGTTGTTATAGGGTAGTTTTAACTATTATGGGTTGTTATACAGTAGTTTTTACCTCTCATAGGATTTTATGGAGTGTTTTAACTATTATGGGACTAGCATATACCCCGTCAAAAATGGCAAGTACTACCACCTCCACACCATAGTATACCCAAACTCACATTTGATAGCTAACTGAAATAAATAAATTATGTGAAATCAAGCTTGACCAACAAAAAAGCAGAAAAGAGCAGTCAAGGCAGTCAAAAGTCAGTAAATTTTTTTTAATGAGGCAAGCTAAGGAGAAAACACAAAGAAAAGAAGCAGTTCCTTGTATAGCAACTTCTAATATATAGACAAGCCAGTTGGTTTTGGTAATAATACGTTTCAACAGTGGCTTTTATGTCATGTTGCTTAGCAACACAAGTATATAGGTTATACTTTTTTGCTAAAATGAGTTCAGAATGCACACACTGATGTAGACATCTAGAGTATATCAACCTAATAACCTGAGCGAAGCTAGGTACTTTCACTAGTGATTGATAAAACCACCTTGTTTTGAGTACATTAAACTGTTTACTTTTACCACAAACAACATCCCAACAATGCAAAGTGTAGATGTGAATGACAACAACCAAAACTAATGTCTGATAAAACCACCTTGTTTTGAGTACACTAAAACTTTTTTACTTTTACTCCAAACAATATCCCAAGGACTCAAACAATGGTGTAAGAAAGAAAAATAAGTTTGAAATTCTGTGCTATGGGAAAAAAATAACAACATGAAATTTATACAAAAATACTGTGAAGCAGTATGCAATAAATTATCTGCTATGGCTTATAAGCCAAAATTAGAATAATAGTGAAAGAATATAAACAACTATCTTATTTTTAGAGTTTATAATATGTGGACTGTAATTGCAAGTTAGTTCTCATCAAAGTTAGGTTTTGTGGATGGATCAAGTACTAAACTTGCTCATGTGAATAACAAAGGTGAAAATGTTGCTGATCAATAAATATATAAACATTTGGTTATGTTCTGTGAACACATTTGAAAGAAAAGTTCTAGGCCCGAAGCCTCTTTTTCCAGGATCATTGGAGTTACTCAAATTATTTTTTTTTTCTTTTGTTTAAATGTCATGAACGTTATATTTCACTCATAGTCCATTTATACATAATCAGTCATGGAACATTTTTTTTATGATATTGTTCTATTGATTGTAAAGTACAATGTAGATGTAAATTTATGTGTCATGCATTTGTTTCTTTACTTTAATAAAATGAATAATATATCATTAAAATATTCAATATCAGTTTATTGATCTTGTTCAGTGAAATTCGTTTAGTATATTTAAACTTGTAATTTATCACATGGTTAAAAGACTAGCATGACTAAAGTGAATGAAGAATATAACTTTGTTAGCATTTGCTTCCAGATCACAAAGTTGTGGGCTCCAGAGGTTTCAGTGCTTGTCACAGCATCCACCAGAAATTCAGTAAGAGGCATGGTTTGACAAACATAACACATGGAAAAAAACAAATTTATAGTTAATTTAACATTAAAGAACAGATTTACATCTTATTCAACATCAAAGAATACAGTTATGCTATTATAAATTAGAAACCTAAGAAAATGTAAAAAAACTAGTAAATTTACACTATTGAACAAAGAAGTAGCCCAAGAGTTAGCAGTGGGTACTGCTAACCAGTTGCCTTTCCTTTAGTTAGCAGTTCAATATTAGTGGCAGATAATCATAGTAGCTTTGCCATAACTTAAAGAAATAAATATAATGCTCCCACAGATGAAAGGGCAAGCAAGTTTGCTGGCAACACCAGTCAAACCTGAGACTCTTGAATCACAAATCCACTCCAAAGTCACCGGGCTTTGCTGGCTCAAAGCTGATTTTGATAACTTCAGTATGCAAATCATAGATAGTTCATTGTGTTACTTTTTGCATAAGAACAAACAATGTAATAGCAATGTTTTGATTACTTGGATGGTTGAAATAATGTTGTATCACTTTTGATACTGTAGTAGATAACAGTTTAATTCCATTATTCAGTTGTTTCTATCTGAAGATGTTATGTAAACATAGATAACAGTTTCATTCCATTATTCAGTTGTTTCTATCTGAAGATGTTATGTAAACAAAGATAACAGTTTCATTCCATTATTCAGTTGTTTCTATCTGAAGATGTTATGTAAACATAGATAACAGTTTCATTCCATTATTCAGTTGTTTCTACCTGAAGATGTTATGTAAACACAGTGAAATATAGTGTTTTTTCAAATAATCAAAAATGGTAATAATTGGAAATTGTAATTTTGATTAATGAATTATCTTCATGATATTAATTAATTTAACCCTAATTTTTCTTACTGGATACTTGAAATAATCAGAAACACATGTTAAATATACTTACATGACGTTAACTGATTTAACCCTAATTTTGATTGATGTGGCATTAAATGATGTAATCAATGCTTATAGGTATGGTTACATTGATTAATTGAATTGATTGCTAAATGTAATATTGTGATGTCCTTAGAAAATTCTAAATTTTTATAACAAAGCTGGGAAAATTATTTCTTTAAAATTTTGTAATGTTTATACAATGTACGTTGGTTTGTGTGGTTTTTGAGTCAGTTATTTATACTAAGTTAGCATTCATGAAAGATTTGGTCAGTATTAATTCTTTTGTCCATTTCACTGTTAAACTGTGTGTGAACTATAACAAAAAACTAGGATTTTCAGATGTATTATTTGTGTGAGTGAGTATTGGAGTACAAAATTATATGACTCATTGCTATGCTACATGTTAGCAATATTATTATCTGTACCAACATGAGTTTGGTTGATATCTGGTCATGCATCAGTGGAAAAGAAAATAAGGATAAAATGAAAGAGCATGGGTAATGTCTTTACTTAAACATACGTAGAGGATGTTGCTGACTACTGGTCATTAAAATTGAGGGATGTATACATATGTTTTTTGTGGTTATTTTCACTTTACAATATATTAATGTCTCTAAACTAGTGTTGTTGTTTTTTAAGTTTTGGATAATCTTTTTGTTTCACTAAAATGTATTATATAATTTGAAATATCATAGAAAAGTTTCATTAAAATCTTGTGAATTACCTGAGATGCCATATTGAGTATAAAGCATATAAGAAGTACTCAAGATGCCATGTTGAATATAAAGCATATAGGAAATACTTGAGATATGATATTGAATATAAAGATTATAATTATTATTGAATATAATGTATACCTTGTTACCTGCACGGTGCTTTCACTTTTGTATCTATTCACTGTCTTTTCAAGCACCTTCATATGATGAAAGATACAAAATTTAACTATTTACCATCAAACTGCTGTTGTGTTTTATGTATAACTTGGTTTTTTCATGTGTTTCATTATTATTGTTATAGTGTGTGTTGAAACAAATCAATATTCAACATGCCTCTAAGAGAGAGAGATGTGCAGCTCTTCTGGAAGTTCAACTTCTGGCCACTTTGAAACATCCTAATATTGTATCCTACCTTAACTCCTTCCAGTCACCGGATGGGATCTTGAACATCATCATGGGCTACTGTGAGGGAGGGGACTTGTACAGTCTTATTCGCAAAAGAAAAGGATCACTATTTGATGAGTCCCAGGTTGCACAGTGGTCTATTCAAATCTGCATGGCTTTACAGGTAGTTAGACAAGTAACACTTCTAAATCAAGAGAAGATTATTGAAAAACTATTCCAACCCCTCTGCAAATCTTGATGATTTCTTTTTCTTTAAACCTAATTACAACAGATGTTGAAGCAAACATTTTAATCAGGTTCGGGAGTTTTAACATATATTTGTGAACTGTTATTAAATTATACAAGTCCTCTTATTTATGTTTTTCTATCATTAGCATAAGATAAAAGTGTTCTTTTTCCATCCAAGAGTCTTAATATTGGTCTAAAACACTATTGAAATGCCAGGAGAAGTTCATACTTTAATTACAGATGTCTTTATCAAGGATCAGAATTACCATAGAAGAAATACTTAGACATAGTTTTATTTAACTAGATAAAATACCATCATACTTTGCACAGATGTTTTATGGAATTATTTAGGTCCTGTATGCACTTTTTACTAGTTAGTTCTTTATTTCTGCCATATTGCTTAAAAATGTAAGAAGTATTGTACTTTATAAACACAGTTCTTTAGATAATTTTTGCCATGATCACTATGGTAATGATCAAATTTTGCCTCTATCAGTATCTGTCAAAGGTGGTCACTAGATCAGTATTATGGACAAGCATCTGTATGCTAGTTTATGTAGTGATTGAATCATTTATAAGAGTTTGAATGCATCAGTATTACCATAGTGTATTTGGTGTCACGAAAGTGCTACAAAAACACATGCACACAATTTAACATTTATATATTTGTGATTTTTTAATTCTGTGTTTATATGGTTTTGAAAGCCTCGCCATTTTTCTTAGTACTTTCCCACATTTTAATTGCATGACTGGGATCATACATTGAAGTTTCTCAGTCTAACATTACAATTCTCATTAAATGTTATCTTTACAGCCTTTATAGAGCATCTGAATTTTGTCTTGAGCCTGTTTTGTACAGAAAAGAATCTTTCATAATTAGCATTTGTTACAGAAACGCATAAAGCTATGTTAATATTAAGTTCATCTAAGATTGGTGCTCTACCTTTTCTGGATACCTATGTTTTCAACAAACAAGGACATTTTGATGTTGTTTGTTACCAGAAACCCAACTACACTGAACTGTACACTCATTTAACAGTTTTGTTCCACTCCACTTCAAAGAAAGCTTTGTGAAATGTCTCGCATCTCGTGATAACTGTATTACCAGTTCTATGGAATTTTTACAGCAAGAGTTACTCAGACTAAAATCTAAAATCTGTTTTAAAACCTAACTCGTTCCCAAACTACTTTATTGATTCTACCATCAATAAAGCTGTTCAACAACTACCACTACCCAGGTCACTAAACCAAGACATCCCAAAGCTACAAGTAATGATCTCTCTACTGTACAGTGGCTCACACTCATGAATTTTGATGAAGAATTTAAGCACCATAATCAAAAAAGTCAATTCACAAGTGTACTTAAAATTTTTATTTAGACCTTTATTGAGAATTCAGAATTTTTTCACATTTAAAGATTGTGTCCAGTTTTCTCAACAGTCACATGTAATTTATTAATTCTGATGCCCATTGTTTGTGGGCACTTACTTCAGATTGACTGGTAGGAGATTGGGAGGTTGTTTAAAGGAACGCACTAATCCTACTTTCAAGAACAGTTCAAACAATTTTGGCATGCATTAAGTGAATGTGATGTGGTCCCAACCCCCGGTATGTTCAAAGTAATCGGTAAAGCTAAATACAAAACTATGCTACATTTGAAGGCAATGCTTCCGATCCTTCAAATGAAGCCTGGATTAAACAACCAGCTACTGAACTTTTACTCAGAATGTAGATAGTTGAACTTTATTTAAACGTTCCTATTCAAATGTGTAATGTTGGGAAGTTGATCACCATGCAGTTTAATAACCCCTTTACGTAGATGTTCAGTTTCTTAGTTTTTATTTATGCACCTTTTAATATACCTTTCCACCTAAGCCATTCATTTTGTACCATATTATTTTGTTAAGTGTGGGCATAACTTCAGTTTTAGTGTTTTTCCCAGCATCGTGTGAAATTCCAATATAATATCTTGCCTCCTTTCACATAATGGCTTTCCACGATTTGTGTTGCCCTCTATATGCACACTTTTCCTTTACCACTAGCCTTGAGGCTCACACCTAACATCATGTGTTTAAACATGGTATAATTATTTTGAAGCATGTGACAACCTATGCCAATAGGAGTGCAACACACCTAGCACAGCTGACTCCCTCTACACTGTAGAGCACAATCATCACCCCTCAATTTGGCACTCGTGTTTAAGAATGTGTATTTTTTTCCTTGTGAACTTTACAGACATAGGCGTTTTCAGTGCAGGTATCTTCAAAAACATTGTTTCACAAGTATCAGTAACTTCTACTTTGCCTGGTGTGAAACAACACATCTTTGCTAACCTACCAAATACATTTGGTTTGTCTGATAGAAGAGGTGATGACTTTTATGTGGTGGGTCTCTGTCTGCAGTCATTCTACAAAAAAAATTGTGTTATTGATTTTATATTTAATTTTTCAGTTTGTTTTATTTTACTGTACAGTTAGTGTTAGAGTAGAGAAAATATGAGATAAAATATAAAGTTTAAAATTTTAAAAATTTGATGTTGAATAAGCTAAAGATGAGTTATTTTATTTAGTGAAAATATTTTATCAGTAATTCTGCTCTGTGTATAACAGACTTTTGTTCAGCTAAAGCTAGGGAATTCAGAGCTATAGTATGTGTAGTTTAGATGATTACAAGGTCAGTCAAATTGAACACATTTTAAAATAGTAGTCACTGGATGTTTTTTTTTGTTGAATGATACTTTTTGAATTTAAGCATGTCTTTTTAGATGTTTAAAATGCCTTTTTGTGTTGAAATATGCTTAGATATATTTGTTTCCATATTATGTTTGTACATCTTTGTATTTTGAGAGGTTTTGTTGTATACAGTAAAAAACAATCTGTTTTTGTTTTCTAGTATCTTCACGATCACAAAATTCTTCACCGAGATTTGAAGACACAGAACATCTTTCTGACAAAAAATAAAGTGATAAAAGTGGGAGACCTCGGAATTGCCAGAGTACTTGATGGTACACTAGATATGGCAACCACTTTAATTGGGACACCTTACTATATGAGTCCTGAGTTGTTTTCTAATAAACCATATAATCACAAGGTCTGTGGAACCAATAATTTGAGTATTTTTTTAAGCAAATTATATTCCTATTTTTACTTTTACTGCTTCTAGTGATACTACATGTAACATTAATACACCAGTGTTATATTTTCACAGCATAACTGCTTTCATTTAATGTTAACATGGTATTATTTAACTAGGCACATTTATGTAATGTTACTACAGTATTAGTGCATCATTGTTTAACTAGATACATTGATATAATGTTACCACAATACAGACACATCATTGTTCAACTAGTTACCTTGATGTAATGTTACCACAGTATTGACACATCATTATTTAACTAGATACTTTGATATAAAGTTACCACAATATTGACACATCATTGTTTAACTAGATACATTGATGTAATGTTACCACAGTATTGACACATCATTATTTAACTAGATACTTTGATATAATGTTACTACAGTATTAATGCACCATTGTTTAACTAGTTACATTGATATAAAGTTACTACAGTATTGACACATCATTGTTTAACTAGTTGCCTTGATAAAGTTACCACAGTATTGACACACCATTGTTTAACTAGTTACCTTGATAAAGTTGCCATAATATTGACACATCATTGTTTAACTAGATACATTGATATAAATTTACCACAGTGTTGACACATCATTGTTTAACTAGTTACCTTGATAAAGTTACCACAGTATTGACACACCATTGTTTAACTAGATACATTGATGTAATGTTACCACAGTATTGACACATCATTGTTTAACTAGTTACCTTGATAAAGTTACCACAGTATTGACACACCATTGTTTAACTAGATACATTGATGTAATGTTACCACAGTGTTGACACATCATTGTTTAACTAGTTACCTTGATAAAGTTGCCATAATATTGACACATCATTGTTTAACTAGATACATTGATATAAATTTACCACAGTGTTGACACATTATTGTTTAACTAGTTACCTTGATAAAGTTACCACAATATTGAAATATCATTGTTTAACTAATAACATTGATATAAAGTTACTACAGTATTAATGCACCATTGTTTAACTAGTTACATTGATATAAAGTTACTACAGTATTGACACATCATTGTTTAACTAGTTACCTTGATAAAGTTACCACAGTGTTGACACATCATTGTTTAACTAGATACATTGATATAATGTTACCACAGTATTGACACACCATTGTTTAACTAGATACATTGATGTAATGTTACCATAGTGTTGACACATCATTGTTTAACTAGTTACCTTGATAAAGTTACCACAATATTGACACATCATTGTTTAACTAGATACATTGATATAATGTTACCACAGTATTGACACATCATTGTTTAACTAGTTACCTTGATAAAGTTACCACAATATTGACACATCATTGTTTAACTAGATACATTGATATAATGTTACCACAGTATTGACACACCATTGTTTAACTAGATACATTGATGTAATGTTACCACAGTTTTGACACATCATTGTTTAACTAGTTACCTTGATAAAGTTACCACAATATTGACACATCATTGTTTAACTAGATACATTGATATAATGTTACCACAATATTAACACATCATTGGTTAACTAAATATTTTAATATAAAGATACCACAATATTGACACATCATTGTTTGATTATATACCTTGATATAATTTTACCACAATATTGACACACCATTGTTAATGTTACTATTAATTCACCATTGTTTAACTAGGTACAGTGGTATAAAGTTATCACAGTATTTCTTAGGTTGGTTTTGGTGTGGTATTTTGGAAGGAAATAACTCAACATTACTTATAGTATTTTGGCACTTGTGTATAAAGTAAAAATCATAAATAAATATTCAACGTTAAACTGGTACACAATTAAAATTGT